AAACAGATGAACGTAAGTGAAGGGAAACAAAAATAATATAAAAACAGGGAGGGGGACAAAACAGAAGAGACTCATAAATATGGAGAACAAACAGAGGGTTATTGGAGGGGTTGTGGGAGGAGGGATGGGTTAAATGGGTAAGGGGCAGTGAGGAATCTACTCCTGAAATCATCGTTGCACTATATGCTAACTAATTTGGATGTAAATTTTTAAAATAACTAATTAATTAATTAATTAATTAATGTATTTATTTATTTGAGGGGCACCTGGGTGGCTCAGTCGGTTAAGTGTCCAACTCTTGATCTCAGCTCAGGTCATGATCTCAGGGTTCATGAGTTTGAACCCCATATTGGGCTCTGCACTGACAGTGTGGAACCTGCTTGGGATTCTCTCTCTCCTCTTTCTCTACCTCCTCCCCACTGACGTGCTCTCTCGCAAAATAAACATTTTTTAAAAAGTGCTTGCAAATTATACCAAATTTAAGCTCTGAAATTTAGTAACAGGGTTATTAGTTGCTTGGAAATTTCAACCTTAAACTTTAAATCTGCTATTTGAACAGCATAATTTTACATGGAGTTTGCAAAGTAAACCCTGCAAACCAATACACTTTAGCACAGAGATATTACTTACCTCTATATTGGAGATCAAATAGAAAGCATAACATATACAGACAGTATTGAGTGTTCTACCTTTTATATCTTACTCCAGGGTTTTCATCCAGGGTAGCACATACTGTAACTATCTGCTCAGCCATTGCTTCCATAACGGCATCTTTTCCATTTGCATTACTAGGGTCCGGACTGTAACAGTAATAGAATGCATCCGGTACATCAAGAGTATAAACCTAAGTTAGGCCCCCCCAAAAAAAAATAAGGTCATACTGTGTCAATTGGTGATTTGGTTTAACACACACACACACACACACACACACACACACAGAAAAATGTGGCTATTATTTGGGACATTAAAAAAATTACTTGCTTAACCAGGCTGTTTCCTGAGACCACTGTGTCTTTACCTTAATCAAATCTCATTTTCTCTCGGTCATCTCGATTTCATCCTTTATTTCTTTTCCCACTCTCCTTTCCTGCTTAGTCTACCTCTCTTCTTCATTTCTTGTTTCATACTGTACTATTTGTTTCTTACTACCTGTGCAACAGATGAAGGAATTTGAGGTAGTCAAACTAAACTAAAAATCTAATACCTGACACAAAGAAATACAACAAAGCCAAAGTTGGTCTATATATTTGACATACATTAAAAATCTTAATCTGTTAGAGAATAACCTAGAAATTTTCCATAGTTGATATGTATCTTCAATTCTTTGGTTTATATTCTTCATGTCCTTAAAATAGAGATATGTTTCCCAAAAAGACACAGTATTGTGCCAGACATAGTAATTGGTCTAATCATAGACCACACTGAAACCTCAAAGACACATTTTTTCAACTAACAAAAACATTTACTTATGTGCAAAGAACTGGATTAGAGGGGTGCCTGGGTGGCGCAGTCGGTTAAGCAACTGACTTTTGATCTCAGGTCAGGTCATGATCTCTCCATTCATCAGTTCGAGCCCTGTGTCAGGCTCTGTGCTGATGGTATAGAGCCTGCTTGGGAGTCTCTCTCCCCTTCTCTTGCCCCTCCCCCGCTTGTGTATGTGTGGCTCTCTCTCCCTCAAAAATAAATATTTAAAAAAAGAACTGCATTAGAAATTTACTATTATTATGTTATTTGAAGAGTACAAAAGTGAGGCACCTGGGTGGCTCAGTCGGTTTAGCGCCTCTTGGTTTCAGCTGAGGTCACAATCGCACTGATAGTGGTATCAGCTCTGTGCTGATGGTGTGGAGGCTACTTGGGATTCTCTCTCTCCCTCTCTCTCTGCCCCACCCCCACTCATACTCACGCAGTCTCTCTCTCTAAATAAATAAACTTTTAAAAAATGAATACAAAAGAAGAAGCTCTTTTACTAGGGTTGGGAGTTAGTTCTTCATTAAACCAATTTTTATTTTTTTTAAACAATGATAACAATCTCTCTTAGCCTAGGATGATGTATTGAGTGTAAAAGTAAGTATGTAATAAACATTACATGCTAAACTATTGCATTATGAATAAACCTGCTTATGAAAAGTTTCCTTTCATTGTACATTCATTTCTCTGAACATAACCAACAGCAGCAGGCTGCACATGGATTCAGATTTAGCCATAGCTAATCCACTTATGTCTGTGTTGCTCAAAATCTTGGCTATTATATTAACTGCCAACAAGCACTTCTCTTAGTACACTATTACACTACAGTAGATAATATTATCTGTTCAAAAATACTTACTGCCCCTCCCTAAGGGCCTCTCCCTATAAGAGTATACTTCCCACTCACTAAAGTCAGCCTTGGCTATGGGTATTCGAAGATGAGTAGAAGTGACATGTGCTACTCCCCACAAAAGCTTTAAAAGCCATTGTGTGTCTCCAAGATTTCTCTTTTCCTTCTGCTATGTCCCAGACAAGGGCTAGTCCTTCAGCCTCAGTTCCGGAATGAAGAGAATATACAGCAAAGCCCCAGACAAACCACAATGGACAAAAATATGAGAAATAAACTTGGCTACAGTAATGAACTGAGATTTAGGGAGTTATCACAACAGTTTAACCTAAGCTAATACTCCAATGAACCAAAGAGAATATTAGAGCTTATTTTCATTCTACTCTCACATTTCTTCCATTCTTCCATTTCCCTCCTCCTCTTCCTCTCCACTTTCCATTACCACCATACATGTTCCTTCAGACCATTACCAAATATTTTCTTCAACTTTATGACCCACAATCAGCTCCTTAAATAAAGACTCCTCCCACCCCCGCCACTTTCATCTACTTTTTTTGCTAATCTACAACTGGCTTAGCTCTATTTCTACCTAAACACCTCCCTACTAACTACACCAGACTCTTTGTACTCTGTAAGATCCACTGTAATCAAATTTCCCTACATTCTTAAATGTTTTCCCTCTAATTGCCTTAATGTATATGTGATAGCACTAATTATCTTAAATCCTGTAAGAAGTAAAGCAAGAGGTTTCTTTAATATCTTGGACTCATAAATTCAGAGTGAATCAACCTCCTTCCTCTCCATGCAACCTCTAAATGTGTTTAATGTCTGTCCAACTTGTCTTCTTTGGAGCACTATCCTATCTGACTTTGCATCTGGCAGACAGTATCCACTGCACAAGACCTTGATAAATGCTCACATAGGCCTTTGCTCTTAGCTCAAAGCACTTAGTAGTATTTCCTTTATATCTTCACTTGCAAACAAAGTTGAAAACATTTTCACTGTAATTTCTCTGTAACAGTTATAGTTACTTAGTAAACTCTCAGATGCTTATCAAGGAAATAAAAGCAAAAACTTCTTCGGGGAAAAACAAACCAGACAGGACCTTAAATAATCACATTTTGCAAAGACACAGTAAGAAGATTCTCATGAGATTTCTCTATATAGACAAAAACAAGTTATTCTCATCACCAATCAAATTGGTCAGATAGCTACACAAATCTCTCCTTCAAATAGAGCAACTGCAGAATTTTGATGAATTTTGAGGCTAAAACTATATTTACCATCTGTACAGCAGATGCTCTGGATCCGTTTATAATATTTATCATACTACTATTCATATCCCACATCATTTAGAAAAGCCTATTTCACCCTATTTTAAACTTACATATCACATTAAAAGGAATAGGCCTAAAGTTAACCTTTGGCAATAGTGTAACGTTAAACAGATATCTTAAAATTTTACAATTTGGATTATAATCTTTCTTTGCCCAAAATAGCAATAGCTTAAAAGAAAAATCTCTTGGGGTGCCTGGGTGGCTCAGTCAGTTAAGCGACCACTTCAGCTCAGGTCATGACCTCATGGTTTGTGAGGTCGAGGCTGGGAGAACCCCGTTTAGGATCCTCTGTCTCCCTCTCTCTCTGCCCCTCCCCTGCAAAAATAAACATACATTTCTCTCTCTCTCAAAAATAAACATACATTTAAAAAGAAAATAAAAAGAAAAATTCCTCTTCTAGGACCCTTATTTCTCTTAAAATATTGACCTTATAGTTCCAAACAACAGTAAACTATTAGAATTCTATGAAATGCTAGAATCCAAACACAGAGAACAGAGCACAACAAAGTTGAGCAATGCACTAGCTGTGTGATCTGGGGCAAGTTACTTAACTTCTTTGATTTCCCCATCTTTAAAATGAAGACAGAATTACCATCCATTCATAGGACTATCATGAGGATTACATGAATATATTTACGGAAAATATTTAGGAAAGTGTCTGGCACATGGAGAATACTACATAGGTGTTTCCTATCACCATCATTATTATTAATTGAAGGATCATAACTATTCCAAAGTCAAAATGAATTTTTAAAACTCTTCATTTTATAAATTAATGCAATCTATATAATGTTATAGAAAAAATTTGTTGAAGAACATTTGTTTTAACATCACAAATGGCTACAGAAGCTAAAGGTTATTTCTTTTGAGTCATCTAACATTGTGTTCAAAATCTTTTCATTTCATAATCTAATAGTTCTGTAAAACTTGACATGCACAGCACTTAGTGGCAGCTGTGAAATTTAAGCTCCACTTTCATAATGTTCTGTTCCAATTTATGCTCCTCTCCTTTCCTTCATCTAAAACATCTTTAAGATATACCTTATTAACAATAAGTAAGCTCATAAAACCAAAATTTTAAATCCATTATAAACTAAAATTAAAAGTAAAACAAGAAAGTACCTGAGATTCAAGTGGAATGAAGGAAATATTTATTTCTTTACATCTTCTTATTGATTTGGAGCAAGAAGTCTTAATTTTGTTAAAGAGACTATCAGGGCAAACTGAGAGGGGGGGAAAAATCAAAGCATATAACTCCATCTAAATTTTTATTCTTTGGAATAAATCATTTTAACATGCAAGAATATTTATTTTTTACATATAATTAGTGACTTTCACAAAGCAATTTACTATGAGGACAGAGACAATATGTAAATATTTTTCTTCACTTTACACAGCAAATGTATTCTAGCCAACAGGGCTGTAACAGAAATTCCATTTTCCCCATTCATAGGCACCATAACTTATGATTATTTCCTTAGAGGGCTGCTTACACAGCAAACTAAAATTGTTAGGAAGGAAAATCAGATCCAAACTCATGGCTTAATAAACTTTCATAGGACTTTCAGAATTTCTTAGGAATTTATACTGCTTTTCTAAATGTGGCACTAAGTGCAACCATCCCACACAAATTGTTAGTTTTTCCTTGTATCTCAAGACCTTCTCTAATGTCAGGAAATCCTGAGACTAATCCAGAGCCTGTTCTCTCCACCCTCCCTTTACCTGTCTATATCTCTATTAAATCTAGGTTGGAACATCAACCATTGGGTCCTAGTGTCTTTTAACATGAAGTTCTTCAGCCTCAAGATTCCTTAAGTTAAAAGAGGCTTCACATTCATTAAATTTTATAACTTCTAATAACATGAATTTCTGTGTAATACAGTTATTTAAAACACAAATACTTATGGCATGACATATTTAAAATGGAAACTATTACCAGGCATGAGATAAATAATAACTTATAGGAAAAACAATATACTGCTTAAAATGAATTTCTAATAGCACAGACTAAGACTACACTTAGATGAACAGCATTTTTATTTTGCAAAATAATTATGTAAGATATAACATAAAGCAGAATTATATGTGTGTCTGGACTTCTCTGTGATGCTTTTGTTTAGCTGCTTTCTATCTGAACATATGGCATTGCAAGAGAAATGTGAGAGATTCTCTCCATTAATATTTGCCAAACAGATGGCAATTTCTCCAGTACCCTCCCAAAGGGTCTTATTTTTGATTACATAATCAAATCCCCAATTAAAACTTAGATTTAAAAAAGAATTCCTCCTTCATCAGCATAAAATTTGAGATACAGCTCTCACTACCAACCCCCCACCATTGTATACCAGCAAAAATGACTGGTTCAGAATTTAATTTTCTATCACTTTAATATGAATTAGGACAGATATGATCTTTTATTTTTAGATTTTTTCTAATCTAATTAGAACAAGCAATAAATTGAAAGTCTTAATATTATAACAGTACTGTAAGAAATACTTTATAATTAATAGGATTTTAAACAATGAAGCAATACTTTTACAAAGCTACTTACAGTCAGTGAAGTATATATATGCTGCTTTGTATTTGTTCTCGGACTTACTTGCAAAATCACGTAAAAAACATTCTACAGACTTAAAAAAGGTTAGATGTTAATACACATTTAACAAAATACTAATTTAAACGTGCTAGCTTTGAAATAACTAAGATTATTCTTTTTCGATAATAAAACAAAACCTTAACTATCTCAAAGTTTACTTTATAAGCTGATTTTTTAAAAATGCTATGTTGTCTAACCAGTAACAGCTAAAAACCTAAGAAGTAGTAAGGTAATATGTATAAACAGAGTACTGTTTTGGCAATGAGAAGATCCAGGAACGATCCAGTGAGTGGGAAGCTGAAGCCACACAGACCATTAGAAGATAACTAATCAAGGAACTGAAAAGCCAATAAGCATACTGGAAATGTTATCCACCTGGATGATGAAAGCATTGTGACTGTAACTGGGAAAGTGCTGAAGAGAGTGACAGTGAGCTAGGAGTAAAATTGTTAAGGGATAATGAAAGACCCAGAGGTTGGTAGACGACAGCAAGGAGGGGAATGGCAGGTAATAAAGTCTGGTAGTTCTTGCATGCCTCAGTGCTGGTAGTTTTAAAGATACAATGATCTAAAAGCAAAAATGAGGAATACAGAATGTAATGATCTCTCCTCCATCTGTTCCTTTTTCTCCTGGAACTCTAGAACTATTTCTGTTAGACCTCATAGATCAATCCAGCAAGTCTCTTATCTTTCGCCCATGATTTCCATGACTTTGGTTTTTTTTTGTTTTTTGGGATTTTGCTTTGAGATATTCCATTTTAACTCGGCTATTAATTCAAATTTCAATAGTGATTATCCTCTTATGCAATTAACCATTTAACGGAGAAATCACATACTTTTGAACTTCAGGAAGTTTTTTATATGCTGTACTAGACTCTTCTTATGTGTTATCATTTTTCTGTTCAGTTCATCATCCTTCTCTCTAAGCAGCTATATTTTGTATTTTCTTCATTCTTACTGAACTTCCTCTTTCTGGCAGCTTGGCTCACTTAGATGTGTTGATGCTTTCCTTTGTTAACTCACTGAAGGTTTAGGTTTGTTGCTGAAGAATCCTAAATACAGGCAGTTCTACAAGAGGGGAAGGCAAAAAGATTTCTCCTTCTCTGGGCTGTAGGTATATAAGCAGACAAACCACCAGGGCTTTGCTTTTTCACCAAATGACCTTTCACCTGGGGTTCAGAGATCTCTTACAAGCTAAACTCTTCAGAAATCTGTCATTTTATGACTTTGGCTGGGAACACTCTCATGCTGGTGTCTAAGGTGCTTACCCAGCTACTAAGGAAGGAAGTCTCTCACTAGCCTTCTCCACTACTATCCAATAAGCTCAAGCCCTCGCTGGTACCCATAGGGCTATGGGGCCCAATAGGTAATTGATTCAGGACAGAAAGAGAAACTGGAGTTGGTTATAGTAGAAAAAAGAGTCACATTCAGGTACTATTTTCTCTGAGCCCTTTGCTCCTTTACTGAATATACAATTTTGTATCCTGCTTCTGTCACTTAACATTAAAAATGAACATTTACCTAAATCATTAAAATTTCCTAGAAATCTCGTTTTCAATGGACACACAGTCTTTCCTACTATTAATCTATTAATGATAAGAATTAGCATTAAGATATAAAATGTCATTAAAACCCACCAGCAGCCAGCATATAGAAACTAAATAGTGAATATCTGTTTTTTTTCCTGCTGTCTGCTAGAATCAGAAGAAATGAAACTGCAATTGCCAACTTAACATTCTGGATGAATGTAACAGCCAAAGAATGTATTAGAAAATCCATTCTCAAATATTGTACAGAATAAAGGAATCTGACATGGCACCTGGGTAGCACAATTGAGCCCTGCGTCGGGCTCTGTGCTGACATCCCAGAGCCTGGAGCCTGCTTTGGATCCTGTGTCTCCCTCTCTCTATGCCCCTTCCCCACTCACACTCTGTGTCTCAAAAATAAATAAACATTAAAAAAAAAAAATTAGAATAAAGGAATCTGATATTTACTTGGCTCTAAAAGTTTGGCATTAATATGCATTCAATCACAGATTATAAACTAATTCCTTTGACGTAAAAGATATATTTACATATATATGCATGCATATATGTGTATATACACACATGTATGCTACAGGAAGTAACTACGATAAAGGATTAATCCAAGACTATTTCTTTTATGTACATTTCTATCCTCCAAAAATATGGTTGCATAGGAATAGCATGAGTAACAAACTACTCAAACTTCATCATTTTAATACAATTAAATTCTGCTTTCAGATATGAGGGGAGAATTCTTTCATTTATACATTCTCATTAAGAGTGCAAATGAAACAATTTTCTAACACAGAAAAACTTTCCTAAGCAAACTAGTTTATGGCACTATTTTTCTAATAAAGGATGTTTTATTGCTTTGAATTGCCTATGAGAAAATGATGTCAATGATAAATGAGGAAGATACTTTTTAAAGATTCAAAATACTCACCTTTGATGTTGGAGAGATAAAATAAAGAGCTTTCATTTGTCTGACAGGTTCTCGATTCCTATAAATATTCTCCACAACTAATAAAAAAAAAGTCCATTTTATATAACCAAGTATTTATACACTTGAAACAATTTTAAAATAAAACTATACTTATTTATAATAGGGAAACACATTAACATATCCTGGGTTTAACATTTTTTTGGTCTCCCTTTGATAAATTAAAAAATCCCAAAATTGTATCTTCCCTAAACCTAAATTCTGGGCTAAGTAATCATCATAAGAAAAAAGGATGAAACAGCTATTTCATAGTTACATCTACCAGTGTAAGCAATCAACATGCCATGAAGCAAGAAAATGCATTAAAAATTAAAATTTGTATTTCTTTTTAAAAATATTCTAATGTAATAAATAGCAAATATAATACCAGATATCAGGCTAAGTCCTTAACATTACTTATCTGTTAAACCTTCTAATAATTATTATATAACAAATTGATAAAATAAGTATTTTACAAATTAGGAAACTGAGACTTAAAGAAGTTAGGTAACTTGAAAGCTAGAAAGTAGAACAGGTAGGATTCTAACCCAGATCTGTCTGACTCCAGAACCCAAGTTTTTAACTACTATAACATTCTTTAAATAAACTGCCAATTAACTCTTACTCTTTTAAAACTACGCAATATTTTTAAAGTATTTTTAACAATGAAATATCGCCATAATTTACTGTTATATTTTTATTATTGAAATTAAGAAGTTCATAAAATTAACAAATATAAAACAAAGTGAATTTAAAACTAGTAAACTCTAGGGGTGACTGGGTGGCTCAGTAAGCATCCAACTCCGTTTTGGCTCAGGTCATGATCTCACAGTTTCGGGAGTTTGAGCCCTGCATCGGGCCGGGCCCTGTGCTGACAGTGTGGAGGCTGCTTGGGATTCTCTCTCTCCCTCTCTCAGACCCTCCCACGCTTGCATTTGCCCTGTCTCTCCCTCTCAAAAAAATAAACTTAAAAAAACCCCAAAACATTAAAAACTAACAAAAAACTAGTAAACTCTAAATTGTCAAATTAATTATTAAAGCTATATTTTAAAAAAATTAAGCATTATTCTACAAATCAAGAGAACCACTTTTCAAGACTAATGCTGGCAAAAGACCTGGAAAGAATTAAAAAGATTAACCTGATAGGCAAGGAAGGCTACTGCTGAACTTCTCTGGTAAATATGGTGATTCACCTTCTCATACTTACATTTATATTAGTAAAGTATAGACTTATCACAGCTTCTATTAGACAGGATATCAAATAAGGTTTCCAAGGAAATATTTAATTTTAATCTCCATTCCCAACTATTGTAATTTCACCTTTAAAAGATTAGTTAAATCTGTGCAAACTTACTTTTATTACTTAATACTCAAAATCAAGTGCCTTATAGTCATCTTACGCTATACATACTATTATGCTTGGTGAGTAATGTACATGTTAAAATGTGAAAATATTGTGGTATGATTTATTAGAACACAGACTTTGAAAATAATTTGAAATGTCTGGTTATTAATAGCAGAAAGTGCCACTTCTTCAATTCCCTGAAAAATGGATATATACTAATAAGTGATTTAACAAAAAGGTTTTTACAGGATGCCTGAATGGCTGTTAAATATTAATCTAAAACCTCACAATAGCCCAACAAGATCAAAATACTCATTGCCATTTTACAAATGTGAAAATTGAGATTCAGAAGTTAAATAAGTCAGGGGCATCTGGGTGGCTAAGTCAGTTGAGTGTCTGACTGTTCATTTCAGCTCAGGACATGATCTCGCCGCTCTGTGCTGATGGTGTGGAGCCTGCTTGGTATACTCACTCTCCCTTTCTCTCTGCCCCTCTCCCACTCATGCTCTCCTCTCTCTCTCTCAAAATAAATAAACATTAAGGAAAAAAACAACTCTGGAAAGTCCTCAAGAAACCTGTTTATGGGCACCTGGGTGGCTCAGTCAGTTGAGTGTCCAACTTTGGCTCAGGTCATGATCTCACGGTTTGGAGTTCGAGCCCCATGTCAGGCTCTGTGCTGAAAGCTCAGAGTCTGGAGCCTGCTTCGGATTCTGTGTCTCCCTCTCTCTCTGCCCCTTCCCTGCTCTGTCTCTCAAAAATAAACAAACATTAAAAAAAAAAAAAGAAAAGAAACCTGTTTAGCTTTGTCTAATGCTATATCCCAACTTACTTGGCAATAGAATTTTTTCCTTGAAGAGTATCTATCAACACCAAACACACAGTAATAAACAATGGTTACAAAAATGAAATAAAACCTCCTTACAGTGCAAAATGGTTCTGTAGCTTCATTATATTTTCATACATATTATCAAATGGTTCTAGGGGAACCTGGGTGGCTCAGTTGGTTAAGTGTCCAACTTTAGCTTGGGTCATGATGTTGCAGTTCTTGAGTTCGTGCCCCGTGTTGGGTTCTGTGCTGACAGCTCAGAGCATGAGTCTGCTTCCGATTCTGTGTCTCCCTCTCTCTCTCTCTCTGCCCCTCCCCTGTTTGCATTCTGTCTCTGTCTCTCAAAAATAAACAAACATTTAAAAAAAAAAAAAAACCTTAAAAAAATGGTTCTCACTTTAGTTGCTAATTAGAATGGCCTCTGGAACTTAAAAAACTTCATGGCCTTGGGCGCCTGGGTGGCTCAGTCGTTTGAGCATCCGATTTCAGCTCAGGTCATGATCTCACAGCTCGTGAGTTTGAGCCCCACATTGGGCTCTGTGCTGACAGCTCAGAGCCTGGAGCCTGCTTCCGATTCTGTCTCTCTGCCCCTAACCCACTCGCATTCTGTCTCTGTCTCTCTCAAAAAAAATAAATAAACATTAAAAAAAAAAAAAAAAAAAAACTTCGTGGCTTAATCAATACTATATTTGTCCAGTGTCAGCAAAATCAAGGCTTCAATCTTTTAATGTCTAGTTGAGAGTTTTTCCATTGAGAAGGCCATAAAGACCAGGAAGACAAGCTGAATATATGATCAATAATAAAGTATCAAAATAATTATTACAAAATTTTTTAGATAATCCTCCCTTTGTATACACTGCTCAGGTTTTCTTGAAAATACTGGTGTAGGGGTGCCTGGGTGGCGCAGTCGGTTAAGCGTCCGACTTCAGCCAGGTCACGATCTCGCGGTCCGTGAGTTCGAGCCCCGCATCAGGCTCTGGGCTGATGGCTCGGAGCCTGGAGCCTGTTTCCGATTCTGTGTCTCCCTCTCTCTCTGCCCCTCCCCCGTTCATGCTCTGTCTCTCTCTGTCCCAAAAATGGATGAACATTGAAAAAAAAAAAAAAAAAAAAGAAAATACTGGTGTAGTTTTTTTTTTTTTAAGTTTATTTATTTATTTTGAGAGCGACAGAGACATTTGGGGGAGACAGAGAGAATCCCAAGCAGGCTCCAAGCTGCCAGCTGCGGAGCCCGATGTGGGGCTCGAACCCACAAACTATGAGATCATGACCTGAGCCAAAAATCAAGAGTCAGTCACTTAACCAACTGAGCCACCCAGGCACCCCAAGTGTACTTTTGAACCTCACAAGTAGCAGTGACGAGACAGTACACATACTACACTAAATTCCAAAACATAAAAGAATTGTATTCGACTTTGAGTCTTAGTTTCCTCATTACAAGTGGGGGTATTTAAAATCTCTTTAAAGGGTTGTCATGAAGATCAAATGTAAATAAATGAGTGAAAGGATGAGGAGTTTAAGGATAATGGTAAGATTATAAATGTTATAAAATATTGGTATCATCCCCCAAAGAGATTAAAATCTCATTAACAATTCTGCCCTAATGAAAGATTATGGCAGTATGTTTTTCTTCATAATGTTATTCTAAAGCGGATTAAAAACAATTTTTTTTTAATATTTTATTTATTTTTGAGAGAGACAGAGACAGAATGCAAGTGGGTTAGGGGCAGAGAGAGAGGGAGACACAGAATCCAAAGCAGGCTCCAGGCTCCAAGCTGTCAGCACAGAGCCCGACGCAGGGCCTGAACTCACAAGCTGTGAGATCATGATCTGAGCTGAAGTTGGACGCTCAACCGACTGAACCACCCAGGCGCCCCATAAAGCTGATTTAAACTTGTAATTAACCGCTTCATTTCTAGGTAATAAAGAAAAACTTACAAAGTCAGTATTATACACTTGTAAATATGTACAAAAATTGATTTTATAACATAAATCTTACTATCTACTTAAAAGCAATACATGAAAACCACCAACATTAGTAAAAACACTGAGGTAAACGTAGTGTCAGCATATAAAATCCTTATCAAATATGCAAGAATAAAAATTTAAGTAACAAACTCAACAAGGCAATTGACTTACTCTTGGTCAGAGGCACTGATTTATAATCAAAGCTTAAGAGGGGCACCTGGGTGGCTCAGTCGGTTAAGCATCCGAATTCAGCTCAGGTCATGATCTCACAGTCTGTGAGTTCGAGCCCTGCGTCAGGCTCTGTGCTGACAGCTCAGAGCCTGGACCCTGCTTCAGATTCTGTGTCTCCCTCTCTCTCTGCCCCTCCCCCAATCAAAGCTTAAGAAAAAACTTCCAGGGGTTATTCTGAAGATTCACAGAGAAATGTCCAGTGTTATTATTATGGCTAGAGTTATAAAAATAATGAAATATAACCCCCTCAAAAACACAATGACTAACTAAAATTTATTATTACTCCAAACTTTCCTAATCACACTAAAAAAGTTTTTATGATGAGTATTGGTAACACTTACCAGTTATACCCTCTGCTAGAAGATCTGTCATTTTGCAACACGATGCCAAAAGCTTAGTGGTAAATTCATCTAAAAGCATTATCTTAAAATGAATATATATTAAGAAATAGTGTAAGTACCTGATTGCCAAGAATTCACAATAGACACAATTTAATCCTTTAAACTTACTCAAACATAAACCTTTTATAACATAAAATGAAAATATCAGGACAGTAAACAAAATTATCTCAATTCACCTCTTAACTTGTATGACCTAGAGATTTATTTTCTCAATATACATACATATAATATTATACATAAGCAAATAGAAACATTTCCATTTTGAAGCAGAAAACTTGTTCATTTTAAATGTATCTTGTGTTTAACATCAAATTTCTTACAATTATAAAATGTCACTTACAAAATAATAATTGTTCCAGGTGCTGTTCTTATTTTCCATGGATTAATTAATTTAATCTTTACAACTATGCTATGAGGTAAGATTATCCCTATTTTAGAGACAAATTACAGAGAGGTCAAGCAATTTGCCTAAGAAGCCACAGCTATCAAGTGGTGAAGCTATGATGTGAATGCAGTCAGTATGGTTCCAGACTCTACACTCTTACAGAAGTATAATAAGGACAATAGGTTGATGTCCTCAATTAAAGGGCAAAACATGCATTCTACCTTCCATTCGCCTTCTTTCTTGCAGTCATCAAACACTGTTGCTTTTATCTCTGCCAAAAAAAAACAAAACAAAACACAAAAAACACAATTATTTACAAATTTAAATCAACAATTAGAAACATAATAATAACTACTGAAAGAGCAAAAAGATCGGGAAGTACCCAATTTGAAAATCTGCTAACTTACATAAAAAGTATATATACCTGTTAAACTCTAAGTAAAAATTCAGTTCTCTTTAATACCTAACCTATCTTTAAAATGTAATATATTTTTAAATTTTTGAGAATTAAAGTATTATAGGGGCACCTGGGTGGCTCAGTAGGTTAAGCGTCCAACTTCGGCTCAGGTCATGATTTCACAGTTCTTGGGTTTGAGCCCTGAGTCAGGCTCTGTGCTGACAGCTCGGAACCTGGATCCTGCTTCAGGTTCTATGTCTCCCTCTCTCTCTGCCCCTTCCCTGTTCCTGCTCTGTCTCTCCTGCTCTCAAAAATAAATAACAAACATTAAAAAAAAAAAAGTTAAGGGATGCCTGGGTGGCTCAGTCAGTTAAGCATCTGACTTTGGCTCAGGTCATGATCTCATGGATAGAAAGTTTGAGCCCAGGTATTTGGGCTCTGTGTTGTAGCCTGAGCCTGGCCTTCAGGCCTAGACCCTGTGTGTCTCCTCCTCCTCTCTGCCCCTTCCCCACTCACACTGTCTCTTTCTCTCTCTCTCAAAAATAAACATTAAAAACATATTTCTAAAAAAGTTTAAAAAAAAGTATTATAAAATATCAATGAGGTAAATATATCTGGGAAAATATTTTGAAACTACATCTGATTTGCTTTTTCCTATTCTACTTAAACCCCAAGTAAACAAGACGAAAACAAAAAAACTCATAGGAAAATCCCTAACTAGCCCATTGCTAAATTACATCTGACAATCAAAATTGGGTAAGCACTTTTTTTCCTGGTTTACTGCATTACAATTTTCAACAATTTATATTACAACATTAGGATACAGATATTCAGTCTTGATGGTTATAATCGATAAATATTAACATGTTCAAGTTGTAATGATTTTTAAAATTAACCTAAACATATTTTTTATTTTTTTAAATTAAAAAAAAAAATTTTTTTTTTTTAACGTTTTATTTATTTTTGAGACAGAGACAGAGCATGAACGGGGGGGGGGCAGAGGGGAAGCACAGCATAGCTCCAGGCTCTGAGCCATCAGCCCGGTATTGAAACACAATCGATGCGGGGCTTGAACTCACGGACCGCGAGATCGTGACCTGAGCTGAAGTTGGCCGCTTAACGACTGAGCCACCCAGGCGCCCCTAAACATATTTTTTAAATTAGTTCACTGATAAACAAAAATTTTTTTCTGATGTATTAAATAACACACATAGGCAATCAACACAAATATCTGTTGTTCTACCTCATAATAAGACAATTCCTCACAAAGTTTTACTAATTTTCAATTTTGAAAACTGATATGTAGTATGTAACAAGTAAAATATAATTAAAATGTAAATTACAGTAACTTCTAATTTCATTAATTCCTGGTAATGAGATGTTTATATAATTCATTTAAACTTTCCTACTTCTTGGGTAGGCCTGGCTGGCTCAGTCAAAACATGCAACTCTTGATCTCAGGGTTGTAAGTTTGAGCCCCAGGGAGAGTATAGAGATTACTTAAATAAGTAAATAAACTTAAAAAAAAAATAATAAAAAAATTAAAAGATAAACTTTTCTACTTCTTAATTTAATACCTAAACTTTAATTGTTTTAAGTTAATGCTTGTGGAAATATACCATCAATTTTTGGCATCACATTAAATGACATGTTCAATCAGAGGGTATATTTAATAAGGATTACTAATACTGATCATAAGAAGTGTGATCTGGAAGGTTTTATTTGATTGGGAAGGCTTGAAAGTGTTAAGAAATACTAGTTAAGGTGCTTATATGTGTTTGTTAGGAAGATTGTAGCTTTTTTAATGTTTATTATTTATTTTTGAGAGAGAAAAAGAGAGACTACGTGTGCACACAAGTGCACACGAGTGGGGGAGGGGCAGAGAGAGAGGGAGACAGAATCCAAAGCAGGCTCCAGGCTGTCAGCACAGAACCTGATGCAGGGCTCAAACTCAGGAACTGTGAGATCATGACCTGAGACAAAGTCAAACATTCAACTGACTAAGTCACCCAGGCGCCCCTGCCAGGAAGATTATAAATTTAAATGAGAATTACAGCAAAAGCCTAAAGTGTTTAATATTTGGGAATTTAAACCCAAAGCACTGGTTTCTTCTACTCTATAGGCAGAGATAAAGGATTTTCTCAGGCAGAGTTCAGACACTAAAATACTATGCCACTTCCCTTTCTAAGCTTGCTTTATTTCTGTATACCTCAAACAAGCTGAAAATCAAAGAAATAAATGCTCATGGAATTTATGATGGAGCAGATTGAAGAGTTCCCTAGGAAGAACTCATCTCATTATAGTCTTTAAACCCTTAGAAACTGCACTGATGTATATGGTAAAAACTCATCACATGTGGCCATTAAGCACTTAAAGTACGGCTAGCCTGAACTGAGATGTCCTGTAAGTATAATTATAATACACACCAGATTTCAAAGACCTAGTACAAAAAAAAAAGGAATAGAAAATATCATTAATTTTCTATATTTACATGTTTAAATGAGAATATTTTAGAAATTTATTATTAGGGGCACCTGGTTGGCTCAGTTGGTTAAGCATCTGACTCTTGATATCGGCTCAGGTTGTGATCTTGTGGTCATGAGACTGAGCCCCGCATGAGCCTCCACACTGAGTGCTTGGGATTCTCTCTCTCTGCCCCCTCCCCCCAAATAAATATTTTGAAAAATTTATTATTAAAATTATCTTCATCCGTTTCTCTCTCTCTTTTTTTTAATGTGGCTACTAGAAACTTTTAAATTATATATGTGGCTTGCATTATATTTCTACTGGATAGTGCTGCCTTGGAATATGAAGATACCTAGACAGTGTTAGTGTTAGCATCTTAACAACAAAACATAGGGGCACCTGGGTGGCTCAATCAGTTGGGCATCCAACTCCTAATTTAGGCTCAAGTCATGATCTCACAATTCCTGGGATGGAGCCCCATGCTCTCAGTATGGAGACTGCTTGGGATTCTCTCTCTCAAAAATAAATAAACTTCAAAAAAAAAAAAAACCAATAAATGATAAACAACCAGTTTTGTGGACTAGAAATTAGGTGCATCCAAAAAAAGTAATATGGTCAAAGGTAAGGTATGTTTGGAGGGGAGTCAAAGGAAATCACATCAACTAATATGACAACTTTTTAAAAAGGTATTTCCTCCAAATACTAATGAAAATTATTTGACCTTACATCCATTTCTCTAGCACCCCAAATATGGATATATTTGATTCAATTCTCTACTCTCTGCTTGCTCTAGTCTCTTTCTCAGAAACCATATTTGTCCTTAAAAGTTTCGTCTATTAGATCTAGCCTTCAATTTTTCCCAACATTACTGAGATACAACTGACACATAACACAACTTGAAAATATATAATGTGTTGATCTGATACACATACTGCAACATAATTACCACCGTAATGTTAGCTAACAGATAATTACCATTCTTTTAGTAATTTTGGGAGGTGAGAACATTTAAGATCTACCTTAGCAACTTTCCAAGTATATAGTACAGTAGTACTGCTACCTGTAATCACAATACTGTTCATTAGAGCTCCAGAACTTACTCCTCTACCAACTGAAGTCTGTACTCTTGGACCAGCTTCTCCTCATTCCCCCTAACCCCCATCAGTCTTCAATTTTTTGCAAATCTAACTCTCCATCATTCAATTATACAGTACAGGTTTAAGCACCTACCTGCCTCAAATTGAGATTATAGTTCCTTAAAAACTGCTTTAGACTTCTCTAAGAGTTTTAGTGACATTTTCTTAGTCATAGTCTTTGGATAGTTCCTCCATCTCCCATATCCAATAATCATGCAGTGTTGATTGTTCTTTCTGGTGACTGCCACAGTCCTCAGCATTGCCTTGGTTCTCATCATCTCTCACTCAACTACTATAACAGCCTCCTGGAGCCGGGGCGGAGGGGCGGCTCGCCGGCCAAGCAGAGCCCAGTCTGGCACACAAAAAAGCGGAGGGAGCCTGACCGGACTGTTTCACAAACAGCTGACAATAGCGACAGTGTCTGAGGAGGTCATAAATTAACAGCTCTGCTCAGAAAGTGGGAGAAGGCTGGAGGAGGACAAAGGGAAGGGGAAACTGTAGTCCCTCGGTGACAAACTCCAGTTTGGTGAGACAAAGGCACTTTTCGCCAACCATCTCCCGCCCATCCCAGCCAAAATCGAAAAGAAAGAACCAGTTCCTGCCAGGGAACTTGCTAAGCATAAACACCCAACTCTGTAGCTTCTAGAGGAGCCAGGAAGCCTCGACAGCAGTCTGACTCCCTCCTCTGCCACCGGGGCCCTCCTGGGAGGTGGATCACACTAAGGAGAAGCAAAGCTAAGCCTGCCCCTCTGCCCCTGTGCACCTTGCCTGCCACCCAGCTAAGGCAGCCAGATCCCCAGCATCTACAAGCTGGCGGTGTGCAAGTAGCCCAGACAGGCCACCCCACCCCACAGTGAATCCGCGCCCTAGGAGGGAAGAGAGAGCCGCGCGCCAGTCTGACTGTGGCTGGCGCGATTGGGCTGGGGGCCGGACGCATCGGAGTCTGACTACTAGGCTGACTCCGCCCACCAACTCCAGTTATACACCACAGCACAGGGAGGAAGTGCCTGCTGGCAGGTCCTCACCACGCCAGCTATCCAAAATGACCAAGCGGAAGAATTCCCCTCCAAAAGGAAAATCTCCAGGAGGAAATAACAACAGCTAATAGGCTGATCAAAAAGGATTTAAATAATATAACAGAAAGTGAATTTAGAATAACAGTCATAAAACAGGCTTGAAAAACAGCTCGTGATATAGCGCTGACGAAATCTCTTCTGAGATCAAGGACTAAAGGAACAGTCTGAGGAAAACTGAAAAACGCTTTAAACAAAA